AAAAAAAAAAAAGATATAACGAACGGAAGGAATTGTGGCTGCAGCCTTTCACCCCTTCTCCTCTCTGCTTGCTACACACAGAGGGGCCCAGAAGGATGCTCTCAGCAGCGCATTTGGTGACTACTGTTATTTTTTTTTTGTATTGGTTCCCGTTGTTGTTTTAACTGTTGCAGGGCTGTGGTGGGGGGGCGCTGGGCGAAGGTGTGCCGCCAGCAGCACCAACAAGTAGAAGGGCAGGGTGGGAGCTAGTAAGGAGCACCTTCAGGCGTGAATGATTTCTGTTTTAATTCTTCCATACCTCTCTTTATATTCCTCACTTTGTTTTGTTCTTTGTTTGTGTTGTTGTTGTTGGTGGTGGTGGTGGTGCCGGTGTTATTTGTGTTCTCTCTCATGTTCCATCATTCGTTCTGTTCAATTGGTTGCTCTTGCAATGAGGCGGGTGCCGCAGTGTGGCGCCCAGAGTGGGGGGGCGTGGCGGTGGGGGGAGGGGGCTGCGATGGCGGCAGGACCCTCCCCTCTCCACCGCACACATCTCCATTCATTCATTCATTCATCCACATTTATATGATGGTCGCGATTTTCCGCATGAATTATGCCGCACTGTTTTCAGTCTATATTGCCTCTTCTCTTTACTCCCGCTCTCACCTATGTGGGCGTGTGTGGCGCAGTACATACCACGCTCCCTGTGTGTGGTCTCTCGTTACGGCACAAACAAAACAAACCGAAAAAAAAAACAAAAAACAAAAACAAAACACCCACACAGGCGAGCCTACATGCATAACGCACATACACCCCAGACATGTTCACTGACGGACATGGCAGACGTGACGCGTATGATGCCGGNTGCACAGTTAGCCCCGGTGGCATCAGAAGCGTGAGGAGGGCGAGGGTGGGGCGCAGAACGAAGCGAAGAACAACATTTCTCTCACGCGGAACGCATGAGTGTTCGTTTATACATATTTCTGTCTTTGCGTGTATGGCTGCAATATTGACACTTGCGCACCCACACAACACACCCACACCCACCCACCCACATGCTGACAAGCTGCCTCTCATCTTCTCTGCCTCACATCGCACTCACTCTCCCTTTCTCTCTCTCTCTCTCTCTCTCTCTCTCTCTGACCCCGCGGGCACCAGTGCAGTGTGTGAAGGCGTGTGGCCGACCCCCGGCGCCCCCCCTCAACACCGCATCGCAGCCCCCATCGCACCACTACAAAACGAAAAACAAAAAACAAAAACAAAATAAAAAAAAAAGCACCACAGACCGCCGTGGTGACTCTGACGACAAGCGAGGCGACATAAACCACCGCAACTTCGTCACACGCGCACAGGTAGGGCAAGTAAGGAACGGACGACGGGAGTAAGACACACTAGCCGCACGCCGTGGTCTGTTTTCGTTCTCGGTTTATTTGTTTGCCCATCGGTAGCCTGCGCACGGAGGAGCGCAGTGCTGTCATATTCACCGTTCATACATATAAGGAGAGCAGAGCATAAAAAAGAGAGGCAGAGAAGACAAAAGGGGGGTGGAGACTCTACCCAGTAGAAATAACAAGAAGAAAACGGAGTA